ACAGATACTAACAGTAGTCTAACACTCATTTTGTCTGGATTGAACATGCCAATTAGTGATACGCTATTGGTATTGAAGCAAATAGTCTAAATGATATGATTGCAGGGGAAACTAATTTGTTTCTTGTCCTCGCGAACCCTTTCAACGAACCGAAATAAACGGAACTAGTTCGGCGGTTTTGCGTCATTGTCCTTTCATTGCTTTGTAAACCAGTTTCACTAATATATGAATTAATTGTGATTAGGCTCGTAAATTACAAGCCGGTACACCGTGTTTATTTTGTTATACCTACTATACGCCTTCACCGACAGCGGTGATTAGAATTTGTGCACGCGATCATGCACTGTGGTAGTTAACAAGAAATTGAATATGTGTTGGTACTTCCCCTCGCTACAGTGACAGATTTATAAATATATATGTGAATGACATCAAGCAGCATACAGGGAGGGTACACTATTAACTGAACAGCCAGTATATTTAATGAAAACGGATGCCATGATTGTTAATTGCGCACAAGTACATGTGGACGGTTTGGCGCAATTTTAGCGGGTAAGTTGTAAAACGTCGTGTACATAAACTTTCTGGTACTGGCGTAAACGTGTGACTTGTTGAAGAGAGAGCGTTCGTTCGTGAGGTAGGTGGTACTGTATGCGTAATCAATTTTTATTACAAAATATCTCTTGTTACGTGTAAGCTTTCCGCGTAAATTGGTATACAGTGCTACAAAATGTTACATAGTCTACTAGATTTCAGACTGCTAACAAGCGTATTTTCATTTACTTTCGACTAAGAAATTCACTAACAACTTAGATAAAACATTACACAGTCTGTATAGCGAATGGACCTATTTGTTTAATGGTAAACAAGGTAGTCGTGTTCTTGGTATTTTAGTTGAATAACTGCATTAGTTGAAATTGTTTTCTGGGTTTTCATTAAATTGAGTCCACCGTGACATGTTCACTTCAAATAGTTTCAATCAGTGTAAAACATACAATATATATAATATACAAAGCTTTGAAACTGTGTATTTGATACAGACTACGATTGCAATATGGTTTTATTACTGAACCATACGAGTTTTATTCAGTAGTCAATGAAATGTACACGTGTTTTTCGCCATAATACAACGGTTTTAATCACAACTGACTAGATGTATAATGGGGTTACTTTCTCACAAATATATCTGACGGTCTGCTACTTGTAACGAATTTTACTGCGTGTATGTCGTGTTTGGATGTTTTCTGAGGCAGTGATGACAGCGTACATCTAAATTGACCCATATGCTGGTGTTAATTCACGTGTAAAAATAGTTTTACAGATGACGGAAAACCGATGCAGCAATTCTTTAGGAAACATTGAGTGTATCCACGTGGATATTTACGAGATTTCAAAAGGAGGTTAGGGACCAAAATAAACTGGCAATGAAGCGTGGAAAGAGAATCGTGTCGTTTCAAAGGGTGCATACTGATCTGTTTTATGGTCTCATACGTACTGCTAACACGTAACGCAGATATATAACATCGACTACTATTTTAATCCAAGTACTGCTCGCGTAACTGCAAACGATACGTGCACGCAGCAACTCACCTAGCCACACGACTCGTCCCGTTATCAATCTGACCAAAGTGCTCCCCCAAACAAGAATGCATAGAAAAGTATGTTAGCAAAAACTTTGATTTTACATTTATTTCTCAGTAGTATATCCTAACCATCGCCTGCTCAGCCAGGCTACGCTGCTAAGCTTACATCGGCGTGCATAAGAATTACTGTCTCCAGGATTTATTCAA